AATCTTATTCTTTTCTTCGTAACCTATATGATTTGAGTAATTAAGCATGCAAATTATCTTAACACCTGGCGCCCTATAAGTCATCTAATTTTGGAGTCATCAGCCTAAAGCTCGTTACATAAGTCATGTAGAAAACTTAATGAAGTAGAGTCTGCACATAAGATTTGAAAAAAAAAAAAAAATATATATATATATATATTCACAGATTGGGGGAGAAAGAAAATTTTTTTACCATTAATTATAAGCTCTTTAATTTATAAAGGTCCTAGTAATATTGAGTTTGATTTCATATTTTGGAGAATATATTCATTCACCATTGATTATTTGCACGTCCTTTCTCATTGGTTTAAGGTTTTGAGATTTACTATACGAGTTTAATGACACTTTTCACAAATGAATGACTTATACAATTTATTCCGTATAGGCTTAAAATAAGTTATGTGAATTTTTTATTACTATTTATGAATTATACATGTATAAATAAGCAAATAACTGTTCATGACAATACATTTAAATATTCTTGAAAAAGAAAAACAGTTGTCTCGAAATTGGAAAATTTTTGTTCTCCTATCAGATTTTTTGCATTATTTTTGCATCATTATACATATGAATATTTTTTTTTTTACTTATTTCTCTCTGTGTTTAACATGATTATTACTTGTCTTTCCTTTGTTATTCGTGACAAAAATGGGGAGAGATGTGTATTTATTTCAGGGAGTTGATTATATAAGTTAGGCGGAGAATTTTAAATTTTTTTTGATTGATAGATGACTGATAGGGACTTATTTAATACATATGCTGAAATTTTATTATTGATATAGTTTTGTTTTTTGTCTATATTGATATAAAATTCGACAATTTATTTCTAAATTTATAATTCACATGATATTCCATAGTTCAGTGTTACGCGTGTTTTATTATGTTTTTATTTAACTTAGTCACATAATTTTCATTTTGTTAGTTTCCTTTTTCTTTTAACGTGGTATTGTGATTTTCATGTATTTCAGGAAACATATTGACATATTATTGAAGAAAATTTTGGAAAGTTTAATTTTTGGTAGTTTAAGATTTATTGACTTTGAAATAAATATGATTTGGTCACGGAATGCCAAATGGGGAGATTGTTAAATCCAAATTATAATTGGCAATTTCTAAATTTGTAATTGGCAATTTCCTTAGTCAAAATTAAGTTCCAGTTCAATTGTATTAGGAGTTTATCGAGTTGTAATCAAAGTCAAAATATGAGTTGTAGTATCATAATTAAAGTCAAAAGAGTTGGGTTGGTAGTATAGTTCTTGAAGGAGTTCATGATTATCACATATATTCATTGGAATGCATTTAGAAGTCCAAAGAGTGTCAAAGAGTTGTACAAGTTATACTCCAAATTCTTAGTCGCAATTTACAACGCCTTTTTCACATAGAAAACATTGGAATTTGGATAAGGCTACCTTAGTTCTAATTGTAGTCATTTGAGTTAGCTTTATAACGCATTTTGAATTATCTCAATTGGATATTGGAAGATAAAGTTATGATAAAGATACAGCGATTGCTTAGTTGCTACTCGTCTATTGCTGTCTTGGCGCTCGAGCGATAGGTCGATATTCAGAATTCTGTTTTACTTCAAACACTTGGTTTTTCAATCTCTTTTCATCCCAAACACTTTTCTCTATATATATTTTACTCTATGAATGTCCAAAAGTGTGTTGAATCATATTTTCCATAGAGATCATTCATTTGAAAATCCAAAAACACATTCATTGATTCAAATATTCAACTACCATATTATTTGAGCCATAATTTCATCGAAACTTTAATTTGTTGATTTACCTATATTGTTTCTTTGGTGTCTAATTTTATGTGTTCTAGAATTGATTAAAACACGCAAGATTTTTTGATCAAACATGAAACCATTTACTCTATCGGAGATAAATTGATACAAGGGATCGTGAGCTGTTGCAGAAGCACAAATTTAAGAGGACTAAGATGAGATACCAGAAGTCTAGATCGGCATTAGGAGCACGTAGTCCAGGAGAGTTAAGGTATAAACTAGGAGTCGGAATTTTTTTTGAAGGAGCACATCTCCAGTAAGATCAAGGGAGACCATAGGAATTGAGGTCAGAAGTTCTATGAGATAGATGGGTCTGGACCATACTGTAAGTTTGCTTCGATTTATAGTAGAATATTGACCGGCAAAGTGTTCGGAGTTTTTATCCGGTTGAAGTTTCTCCGTGGTCATCTTTGGTATTCTTTATTGCTTTAATTATTGATTGTGGTATTCAAATTTAGGATAAATTGACTTGTATGATCTAATCATCTGGAAACAATTAAAAAGTGACTTGTTGCTTTTAATTGTGTAATTTCGCACGTGGGTCTAAATAATTTAAAACTTTCAATATTCAACTGCAAGATGATAAAAGATCATCCCACGTTATTGATTATTAGACTCCGTTGGTTAGAGGATCAGCTCTTTTAAAATCTCGAGGAAATTCCAAATTTCTATTGAACCAAGCTCAACAATACGATGGTGAGTGCCTATATCTGCACCACAAGAGCAACTTTAATAAAGACTCAGACGAATTTCAGATTATTTATAACCGAATACATAGACTAAACACCAGTTTCTGATACTTCACATCGTCCCTTCACCAACTCGGTCAAAGGAACGGTGAAGGACTTCAATTGCATATTCGATAAAGTGAGCGTATCATGTGAAAACTGGAAGCCAAAGCATTAAAGAAATGTATGAAGTAGCTACAGATCATCTTTGACTATGTGTCTGAGTAGCTACAGAATTGAAATAAGTTAAATATGTTTGTGTACAGGAATTGTTAGACAATAGAACTTTATACAAAGTGACCGAAAAAGGAAACGAGGGGGAAGCATTTGGCATATCATGAAGCATCGATTCAATTTCCTATCATTAATGCTGGATCCTCCATTTGCTCAATCAACCAAAAGAGATGATTCAAATTTATTGTTAGCTATTAAATTCCAAGATTGATCTAAATTTTTAATCACGATCAGTTTATCTTTATGAAATGAAAGCAGAAACAAAACCAATGCCAATGAGTTTCTTCTAGAGTGTCAAAATTGTCCAAGGTTTCTTGACTTTGAAAAGTAAATGGAACAAATGTGCCAGCATCTTCAAAACAAATCCTCAATATTGCAGATGTTGCAAGTATACATTAGATAGTGAAGGCATGCAGACACATTCGATATTTGAAGCTGTTAAATAGGAATAGATCAAAAGACACTAATTTCGCTATGATTGATATGCCTTTCAGCTACTCTACAGCGTATACAGTATATTGATATAATGTTAACTCCAAAAATCTGCTCCATGAACCTTACCACATACCCTGCGAAGTACGTAATCATATGCAAAGGGAAAGAAAAACATGAAGAGTTCGCATAATGAGACGCAAGCCTTTTTTAGTCCAAACTGGTTGCTGGCTGTTAACACACTCGTAAAGTGTGACACTTATAACTAAATCAGTTATGAAGCAGTCCACAAGAAATCGCCATTTGTCATTCTCTCATAATGACCAAACTACCTGAAGGCTCGGCGGGGAATCTACAAATGCCCCCCCTCATTTAAAGAAGAAGGCTACAATTCAAATATCTCCAACTCAAATAGCTATTTTATTTCTTTCTCTTGTTTGAGCAAGTAAAAATTGTAGCTAGATGAGTAGGATTTGTTGATCTATTTTTCATCTTCAACAAATTGGCCCCTTCTGTGGAAAATTCCAAACAAAGGAAACCACAAATCCATCCGCAAAAGTTGAGAAGCCTTAAAGATCTGGAAAGATGAATGGAGTAGAAGCAAATCCAAATGTAGTCAAAGCACTAAAGTAGGGACAGAAGAATCTAGTAATGATTCAGTCGAAAGGGATGTTAATCCAAAGAGGAAGCAGGAGAAAATGTTGGTGAGATCCCAAGCCGATATTTTTCCTTTTCGATGCCATCCTTAGAGGAAAGGAGGACCTACGGTTGAGGCGATCCATGAATTGGCAAAAAAAACTAAAGACGCTGACAGTGAAAAATGCATACCTATACGCAAATTACGAGAATCCAAAGATGAGCTAGCAACAAAAGGAAAACTGGAGAAAACTAGAGTCTGATGCTTGTTTTCCCCCAAAGGAAATACTGATTTGTGGACGTCACAGGCTTATGGTGTTGCTCCGGCAGGAAGGTGGAAAAAATCGCAAAATAGCAGATCCTCAATAGCCGGAGTGGCGAACAAGAAAAATCCTTATTACTTGAGGTATAGCCAGTGGAAGAATAAGAGAATGGGGAACTATAGTAGTTCCTATAATATTCATTCACACAAAAGGCTAGAAGGCCAATCCATAATGGATAATGTGATATATTAGTTGTCAGCAGATTTAAACAGTGACTGTCTTCCTCATCAACAAGTGAATCTCGGAATAATACAATAACCTACAAGGTTAAATAACATCAAGCAAAGGGAAGAAAAGTTCCTTAGAAGTTATTAAAGCTGAAATGGATAATGTAATATATTAGTTATCAGTAGATTTAAACAGTGACTGTCTTTGATGTAGTACATCACAATTACAATTGATAGTTTCACTTTATCTAGGAGTTTGTCTTTTTTAAACTATCTTTTCTAATTTTCTTTTCTAATTGTAATAGGTTTATTCTTAAATTTTATTTAGATTAGGATTAGTTTATTTCCTTTTAGAATTTAGTTTCCTTATTTTAATTTCCTTTTATTAATAGGATTAGGGATAATTTGGCCTATAAATATAGAGGTATTGTACACTTTTTATTCAATCAATCATATATCAATACAAAGCAAGTTTATTCCAATATAATTCTTATTTTCAATTCTTATTACAAGAATTTCTAAACGCTTCCGCACCATGTGTTAGGCCAGGCCAGGTTAGGGTTATTGTTGGGCCTGTGTGATGGGATTGGATTAGGCTAGTTCAAGTATTGGTATTGGACCGGTTGTTTGGGGTATAAGTTGGGCTGTGGGTATGTATGTGGAGTTGGACCAATTATGGGCTTCTAGGGCTGGGTTATCTATATGTGATGGGTTTGTGTGGAATGGATATTTTGGGTTGGGTCTGTGACTATTGGGTTTGTATCTAGGGTTATGTGTATAATATGTGGATTAATAGATGGGTTTTGGATAAGCACAACAGACTGTTATGGTGGTAGCTTCTGGTGGCGGGAGAGGAGATCTCAACTGGATGTGCAGCCATGAGTAAACGCCGGTAGTTGAGATAACGGGGCAGCTTGTTGCAGGTGTTCTAGAGCGCAAATTTAAGCAGCATTTAAGGAGGTTTTTGCTGGTGGTAAGAACATCGAGTGGCAGGTAGATGAATTTGTACAAAAAAGTTTGCAATCACTGCTACTTTGATGAAGGAAACTAGGTTTTAGCTCTGATACCAAATTCGATGTAGCATCAATGGAAATATTCAGCAGAGATAGAGAAACCAGTCTGCAGAGAAGGAGGAGGAGGACAATTCAATTCATTCATTCATCGTATCCTTGTTCAAGTTACAATACCAACTATAAATAGAAAGAAAAACAACCCTAAAGATAAAAAGGGCTTGGGCCGGCCCAAAGTACACACCCAACTAAATAAAGCATAAGTAAATGGTCCAATAAAACAAAAGGGTGATGTCCGCATCAGATTTCTTGTTGCACTGATACATAAGAAAATAGGTTAGATGTGTTTATTTTTTTAATCAAAATATGAACTTGAGTCTGTTTTCTGCTTGGTTTATTTGTTCATCCTTTTAATCCAAGGACCATTGGTCGTTGGAAATTTTGTATCTCTTTCTCATTATAAAATCTCTATTCTCATGATGAATTTATTGATTTTATAGATTATTTTTTTCAAATTAATATTTATATTAGGAGAAAGTATTTATTTTTTGAAAAAATATTACAGTTCATTAAACATTAGATGATAAGTAACAACTTGTACCTGCTTGTTATATATTTTGTTCTGTCTTGTAGGCTGTACGGAGGATTAAAAACTCCCCCTTGACTTCTGAGGAGATAGCACGTATTGAAATGGTATGAACTAAAATATTAATTTTCTTTTAGTGACTGGTAATTAGCATACAGTGGTTCTATTAGACTGTGCATAGACATTTCATTCATGTGTGTAGTCTAAATTATTCAGGGATTAAAGAAATTTAAACTCGACTGGATATCCATATGGAGATTTTTGGTTCCTTATAGAGATCCATCCTTGCTTCCACGACAGTGGCGAATTGCTTTCGGTACACAGAAGTCATATAAGTCCGATGCAAAGAAGAAAGCTAAGCGGCGTTTATATGAATCAAAAAGAAGAGCTAGTAAGCCTCCTGTTTCCATTCAGCATTCGTCATCTGAAAAAGAGGTATGAATACATCTTGTGTTTCAAGTCTACTGCTGTATAACCACTTTTCCAATTAGGATGACATTCTTTTTATTTGTAAATGCATAGGTGGTTGTTATGCAGTCGATATAAAATCTATTTTTATTTTAATTATTAGCGCAGTTGGTTGACTTTTTCTTTTTTAATCATCCGAACCTGTCTAACTCTCACCTTATTCTTTGGCTGCATACTTGGACCTCCACAATATGTATGGGTAGATGACATGGACAAAATAAAGTGCTTCATTGTTAACAAATTTTGATGGATTTCAGTATTCTTCTTTGAGTTCAATAATTATTATCCAGAAATCTGCCAAAATTTCAAAATATTGTTTTCCATTGTCCACTATGAATAGCTAACTAAACCATGCATGTTTCATTATCCTCGTGGGTGTATGATAGTGTTCCTGAATAGAATATGACAGAAAGCTTAAGCTTTCAAATTGTTAGTGCTTAGGAAGAAAAATTCAAATGTAAAGCTAGGACGGGATAAAACTCCCAAATCAAACCGGACCTGACCCGAGCCGAATCGAGAGGTTCTTCTTAAGTTAAATACTCGAATGGGTATCAGAATTGAGAACCGACGAGTTCTGTTCGGTTCTCGGTTCTAGATGAAGAATCGAATCTCTCTAATTTTTAAAAAAAAATTATTAAGCTCTTGTTTGATACCCATTATTTTCAAAATAAATTTTTCTATCTTATTTTCAACCACATTCTTCAATAAAATAATATTACACGCAAACCCAAATTTTTTCCTAATTTTTTAACCACACATTCTCTATCAATCTACTATTCCAAAATTCATTCTTACACTAAAATGGTACTCAAACAGGCTCTAAATAAATCGAATTATTTTAATTTTTTTTTCTAAATAAATTTGTCGACTAAGCCATTGTTTGATTCTCATTAAATTAAAATTCATTTTTCTGAATCTTCTTATCATCAACACATTCTTCAATAAAATAATATTACAAATAAACATAAAAACTTTTCCTTTGTTTCAACCCCACAGTCTCCCAAAAATTACTATTCACGTTAAAATGTGATATAATGGAGCCAAAACATGGGCTAATTAATTGAGCTCAAAAATATCATTTTCCTGTTTTAAGTCCAATCCAAACTTTGTAATTCAAATTTCAAAGAATTAAAATTGAGTAATCAAAGTTTTCTCAATCATTCTACAGTTTCTCAAATAATTGAAGCTAAGCGTCTGCGCGTCTCTTTGCCTTATCCTTTTTTTGTGTCCTATTCATTGAATTTTCTCCACTTCGATTAAGATAAGTTTCATCACATTCCTTTCTAATAATTTCTTGCGCTTAATGTATAAACATTATAATTTATAATTAGTTTTTAAGATGTTTATTGTAAGCTCACGCATTTGCACATTTTCCTTTCTCTCGGTAGCTACCTTCCTTGCCGTGTTCTTTATTTTCACCCGTTTTTTATTGCATGTTTTCACCTTTTTTTATATGCCTTCCATATTGACATGTCATTAGTTGAATTAATTTAGTTTTATTGTAAATGTTAAAAAATTTAATTATAGTACGGAACTGAACTGATTCAATTCCATAATTAAACTTAGACCCGACGGTTCTACTTGCTAAATAATCGAAAATTCTGGTAAATAGAACTGAATTGAACCGGACCATGACCAGCCCTATGTAAAGCTTTAATTATTTGAGTCTTAACATGGGAAAAATGCATTTATTGGTGTAGTGGCCATGTAGTGTATTCAATGTTATAAACTTATGATGTCATGTCCAATGTTCCCTTTGTGGTACTATCATTTACCAGTGGCCCTCTTTGCTTCCCTGCACATGGTTAGGACCTCCTGTTGTGATTAACTAAATCTCATTTGTATTTAGCAAGATTGACATCCTTCTGAAAGTTGTTTAGCCTCCATTTGGCAAATTTATAAATCATTTTATAAATGGTCAAACTTCAGTTCAACCACACATTCCAGTGAAGTCACAAGTACTATCTACTTATCCACCACTTATTTCTATCTATTTATAAATGAAACCATTTAAAAATTCTCCCCACTAGAGGCTTAATAGTCTAATGTAGGAAACATGTTTTTGTTAAGATTTGGTGATTGTACTTAGCTTTTATCATCAGAGTGCTTCAGATGTTAACATTGATTCTTGTCTGTTTTTTCTACCGGCAAAAAACTC